CCTGTGAGGAAGTGGTTCTTTTGAAAATACCAAAGTTTAACATGAGGAGTGGTTGTACTACATTTTGCCCAGCCCTACCTGTGAGGAAGTGGTTCTTTTGAAAATACCAAAGTTTAACATGAGGAGTGGTTGTACTACATTTACATCACAACTTATAGATTTATTTATCAACAGATGATGTAGCGAGATTTGATTGAGATCAAATCTCATCAATCAAATGAAATGAAAAACTCTCCCATTTTCTTTTTAATACATCATCAATTTGTAAAAAATTATGTAAATGGTAATGTACAACAAATATTTTTCTAAGAGGAGTATCCCAAGTGTAGTTTATTGTTTTTGAATCTTTACTCGCCATTTGAATTCACCCTTAACAAAACCCATGACCTTAACATTATCACTTTGAACCACCTCGTATAAAAGCCTAAACTTGTAGAGAAAATACACATTTATTTGTCTAAATTTTCATTCAATAAATTATTTCTTTAAAAATACAGATTATATGATAGAAATACCAAAAATATAATGAATAATGGAATAAATCTTACTAGTTTTTGGTGCAAAATGGAGTCTTGATTTCTGATATCAAAATTATTCCCATAGTGAACAGGAGTGCTCCACAGCTGAGCAGAACTCATCCAATTCTTCTTGTCAATCACTGGTTCCACATCTTTTCCCTTCCACTGCAATCCCTCTTCCTTTAATCTCTCAATCGCTACAAAAGATCAATAGCCCACAAAAATGTTAACAATTTTTTGGGAAAAAAGGCATAAAAAGTGTAAAAATAAATAAATTATAATTATACCATCCTTTAACAGGCTCATGGAGTGAGGAAGTTCACGCTTGAAAGCATCAATTTTTGTCATTTCTAGTTCCAATGCATGAACATAAAATTCCAGCTTCGATGATTTCTTGGAAAAATCATCGATGAATGAAACTTCTTTAAGAATTTCAGATATTTTCTTTGTATCAGAATATGAAAACACCTTATTCGAATCATCACCCATTTTCACTCTTTTTTCAAGATTCTTTTTCGAATCTTTTGCCTATTTCTTGTAGATGTATTTGTTTGTGTTTGTGATCTTACATTTCGTTACCCAAATAAACATGCATGGAGATGCCGTGTGGTGGGTGGGGTGGGGTGGGGTGGGGTGTCTGATTTATGCGTGTTGAAACTTGAAAGGGTGAAAAATGAGAAAGGATAGAGGAAAAAGAAGAAATGAATAGTGGGGACATGTGATCTGATTCTTCCTACAAAAAGATTCGATTGTTTAACAATTTCACACAGTCGGATTCCACGTCGCTTATTTCGGTTTTTTGCACAAAGAATCTTTTTACAGTCCATGTTTGATTAAGCTTGAACAATTTTACTTATAAGTAGATTTTAAAGATAATTATTATTATTTATTTTTTTTTGGGATGAGTTGAAAAGTGAAAACCATCTCGAGAGAGCGCCCAAGACATGGTTTCCATTTCGTAACCCATGTTAAATTCTTACTTTTCGGTTAAGAAAATAGGACAATGCTACTTGTACATTAGCATGTACATAAGGGTGTACATAATGTGAGTGGAGGTGGGACCTACGTTACAGTGTCGTGGACTCCACCACACTTACGTTATGTACACAGTAATGTACAAGTAGATTAATCCAAGAAAATATTTGCACTTGCTCAAAGATTCTCCAAAGGGTAGGCCCATAGAGTACATTTATTGATCGAATTAGTAGTAGCCGAGGATAAAATTGTCTTTTGGATTGGAAATAACAATTTCATAGGCGTCGACTTATTTTGGGATTAAGATCGAATTTGAAAAGTTCGATAAGGGAAAATATATCTTATTATTTGATTAAAAGAGAATGGCCTGTGTCGACACGTTTGGCTGCTACTTATAAGATGCTTATAAGCACCATTATGAAAAAGTAAACATATTTTTGTAAAAACAGAATTTCAACTTATTTAATTGAAAATTTATTCTTACTAATTTAGTAAAATATTAAATATATCTAAACTTTCCTACGCGTCAATATATCAAAAAAGAAATCTAAATAAATTTAACAAATTACAAACTGTTTATTTACAGATAAATACGCATAATGGTAAAGAATATTATAAAAATCAATGTTTATACTTTTAAAATATAAAAATTGAATCGATTGCGCTTGTGCAGTTCTAAAAATTAGCTGGAAAACTCTAAGCCCGTAATAGGTGGTATCATGGGCTTCCAAGAGCCCCAGCTTACTTTCCGGCTCACAACGGTTCCAATGGGCAGAGCATCCAACAGTGCAGTTATGGAAAAAATGGCAACACGAAAATATAAGAACATTGTTGATTCCGACCTCCAAGGCCACTTAGTTCGGATTGGTGTACCCAGCAAGGGAATACTGGTGTGAGCTCGGATATGCGAGGTGACTGTTGATACCGACCTCCATCACTTAGTTCGGATTGGTGTACCCAGTAAGGGAATACTGGTGTGAGCTCGGATATGCGAGGTCAGTTCAGACATTGAGTAGCTTACACAAGCAGCTTGTGTAATCCTTCAAGGAAAAATGATGAGTAATGATTAAGAATCACTGATGGGCTACCAATCAGAGGGACACATATGGAAAGGTCTTACATCAGTGCCCACATTATCCTCTAATCAAAAATCTTAGCTTCCTTTCCTAAGTAATGCATTAATTGCTGGGGACCACCTGCACCAGTAACTCATGATCAAACTGACAGAGCCGAGCTCAGCAACCAATCCTATTACGCCAACATATGTACTTATTCAGCTCGGTATTACAGGTTGACATGACAGGGGGTACACTGTGCACGCATCACCCCACTATAAAAGAAAAATGGGAGGGGACGAGAAAAGGGACTCTGATCATTCTCTTGAGACTTCAAATATCTCCTGTAATAGGAAAAAGAGGATGATGATGTAACAATCTTGTAACCCATTGATAAAAGATCAATCAATTTTGTGTTTATTCCCTAAAGTTGGCTTGGATATTGTCTATACATTTTTCAACGTCAACANTGTGTTTATTCCCTAAAGTTGGCTTGGATATTGTCTATACATTTTTCAACGTCAACAGTTTGGTACTAGAAGGAGGGACCCAACTTGAAAAATAGCCCCATCTCTTCACAAAATTCATAAAATAGTATCATGGATGAATTTTTAGTATCTGAAAATCAATCTCACATCCGTCCCAAATAGACCAGCGATCCAAGAAATTTTGAAAGACGAGGTCAAAGTGAAACTATCCACCCTCAAATGGCGACAATGAAGGAAGCCATTGAGAAATTAACAAACGTTGTCAGTAAGCTGGAACAAAACCAAGCTCAAAATCTGCCATATGATACCGAGGTGGAATCTCCTCGCCGAGGAAAAACCAGGCGACTTCCCACTAGGAGGACCCTACAATTTTCAGGCGAGGAATCCTCCAAAAGTCGAACTGAAGGAGTCAAAAGTTCTCCTATTGCAACAAAACCAACAACCAGAAGAACAAATAGCGTGTTCAACAGATTGGGCTCCCAATATTCTCTTACACCTATAAGTAAGCATGACGAGCCCCGTAACAACCACCCCGTGGGACGACCGGAGTCCGAGATGAGTGCCCTTAAAAAATGCATAACCGACCTGGAGGCTAAAAACAAATGAAACACAGAAGAGTATCTTGCAAAGCGTCACTCACCTTTTACCTAGGACATCCTGGTAGAACCACTGCCTGAAAAGCTGAAGATGCCACAACGACAAGGTACGATGGGGAAGGAGACTCTCTCAGTCATTTAGACAAATATGCCTCTTAGATAGAGCTGTAGGGAGCTGGAGATGCCATCATGTGCCGTACTTTCCCTCTAACCTTAAGAGATAAAGCTCAGTGATGGTTTAGAAAGTTGCATCAAAGATCTATAAAAAGTTGGAATGACCTCTTCACGACGTTTCTCGCCCAGTTCATGGGATCAAATGCTAAGACTACACCAAATGAAAGATTGGTAAGCATCAAATCAAACAAGGAAAAACTGAATCGCTCAAGAGCTATTTGAACAAGTTTAACAAACAATCTATGGAAGTGGAGAAGATCTCAGACAACGATGTACTAATGGCGGTCCTTTCAGGCCTGACGCCAAAAACAAGATTCTGGTGGTCTGTTCACGAAGATGGACCTTGGACATACCATGAGCTCTTGGGTCGAGTTGAGAAATATATAAGTGCAGAGGAAGCAACATCAGACCGGGAGGATACTAAATAGTGTCCTCAATTTCCACAACGAACTAAGGGAAAGCAAACAGATAAGGACTCAGGTCGGGAAAAAAGAAAGGATAGAAGGGATCGAGGTCGCTCTAGACCGTATCCCGACAAATTTCGCGAATATCACCCCTTGAATGCAACCTTGGAAGAAGTCTTTCTACAGACTGAGAAAAAAGAAGCCTTTCTACCTCCACCCCAAGGGAAAGAAGTAACTGGGAAAAATCAAGGAAAGTACTGTCATTATCACAGAACGACAGGGTACAATATAGACTACTGCAAAAATCCAAAGGAAGAGGTGGAGTCACTTATCCGGTGAGGTCACCTGTAGGAATTTGTAGCTAAACCTCGAGAAGCAAATCCAACTGGGTTCCAACAGGCTAATCCGCAAGGGGTAACTCAACAAGCTCGGCCCGAATCCTAAGCTCGCGACCTACAACCTCGTGCTGAGATCCGAACATTGATGAGCGGGAATCAATGCCTTGAGGGTTCACGAAGGACTAGGCGCAGATTGGCACGCAATGCCCGTGTTTGGCAAAACTACAGTGTAATGTGTCCAGAGTCGGAGGCTGTCACTCACCGCACTCAGAACAGTTCTGATTTTCAAAAAATGACGCACAGGGAATCTTGAAAGATCAAAGTGACGTGCTAGTCATAGCCATGAATATAGCAGGGGTACAAATACATCGAACTTTGGTAGACAATGGAAGTTCGGTAAATGTACTATACTCTCGAACTCTGTTTTGAACTCTCCGAGAACTTATAATGTCGACCTCCCTAGTCAAGTTCGAATGCTAAAAAATCAACATTATCAGCATACTGAGGTCACAAGGTCCAAAAGATCCATCATAGCTGGAAAAACATGGCAAGAAGGCGACTGATGACCAGCTCATGTTTGAGGAAGGAGATGCAGACTCTCATCCTTATCATGGAGTTCTGGTAATCCCCATGCTTTTATCAAGAGTCAACGTTCCCAAAGTTCTGGTGGATACGGGGAGCTCCCACAATATACTTTATGCCGTCACCCTAGAACGAGTTGGGATTCCCCTTGGTTTTCTGCATCCATATTCAAACATGATTATGGGACTTGATGGTGTTTCTTCTGAGGTGAAAGGAGTAATTAAACTCCCTGTTGAGGTCGGAGATTTCCCTTGTCGAGTCAAAGTGAATGCAGAATTTCTGGTTTTGAACTCAAAGTCCCTTTATGATGTAATTATGGGACAACTTTTACTGTTTGACCTCAGGGTAATAGTATCACTGTACCACTACTTCATCAAATTCCCGACGCCCCATGGTACATGGTAGGTCAAAGGGAATAAGGATACTGCTGTTCAGTGTCAAGTGGTGGTTAATTCAAAGGGAAAAAAAAAGATTGATTACCCTCCAAAGATCTGCATGACGTGCATGGCAGAACCTTTGTCGAGCTCATTGGACTCGCGATTGAAGGTATCGGGGGGAGAACCAGTGGAAGAACTGGATGTTATTAATGTCGGTGCGGTAGTCCGCAAAGAGAACTGAAGATAGGTCACGAACTGTGATCTCTACTAAGAGATCAGATCATCAGCTTCCTCCAAGAGAACCTTGATGTCTTTGCTTGGGAACACGCCGACATGAAAGGAATTAAGCTAAAAGTTACGTGCCATAAGTTGGGGGTTGATCCTTTGGTGCGGCCTAAACAGCAATGACGAAGGCCCTTAAATCTGGAGCTGGGATCATATTGATAAGTCCGAATCACCACTATTTTGCGATGCACTGCCCATTTGATTTCAATACCTCT